TGGCCGGACGGGGCCCGCGGCAGCCGCGTCACCGGGATCTACCACGTCAACGGCGGAGGCGGCGCTGCCGGGAAAGGTGGGACCCGAAACGGGGGGTGAAACCATCCCTGGAGAGGGAAAATCCCCCCCAAATCCTCACGGGCTCATCGTCCTCCTCCTCCTCCTCTTCCTCCCACCAGGTCCCTACAACACCTACAAGCCCAGCTCGGAGGTGGCGGAACCGCCGGCATCGGTGGGTGACGTCGTTTGGGGGGTTCCTCAGCCCAAGATTGACCTGGAACCCCAATTTTGATCCCAAAACCCAAACCGGGAGTCCCAAAGCCACGACCGGTGACCTCAAAATGCCCAAGCCCCCAGCTGTGACCTCACAGCCCCAATCTCGATCTCCAGAACTCAAATTGTGACCTCAAAACCCCAATTTCGATCTCCAGAACTCAAATTGTGACCTCAAAACCCCAATTTTGATCTCCAGAACTCAAACTGTGACCTCAAACCCCCAATTTCGATCTCCAGAACTCAAACTGTGACCTCAAAACCCTAAACCCGACCCCAAACCCCCTCACCTCGACCCCCAAAACCAAAACTGTCACCCCAAAACCTCCAACCTCCACCCCAAGTTCCCAATTTTCAACCCCAAACCCCGAACTCCAGCCCAAACCCCGAATTTTGATCTTCAAAACCCCAAATTTTGACCTTCAAAACCCCAAATTTTGATCTTCAAAACCCCAAATTTTGACCTTCAAAACCCCAAATTTTGACCTTCAAAACCCCAAATTTTGACCTTCAAAACCCCAAATTTTGACCTTCAAAACCCCAAATTTTGACCTTCAAAACCCCAAATTTTGACCTTCAAAACCCCAAATTTTGACCTTCAAACCCCAAATTTTGACCTTCAAAATCCCAAATTTTGACCTTCAAACCTCAAATTTTGACCTTCAAAACCCCAAATTTTGATCTTCAAAATCCCAAATTTTGATCTTCAAAACCCCAAATTTTGACCTTCAAAACCCCAAATTTTGACCTTCAAAACCCCAAATTTTGACCTTCAAAACCCCAAATTTTGACCTTCAAACCCCCAACCTCCACAGCCAGACTCCCAGCCTTGACCTCGCATCCCCAACATTAACCCCCAAAACCCCCGTTTTTGACCCCAAACCTTAACCCTCAGCCCCCTCCCCATTTTTCAGGTGCTGGCAGAAGGTGCAGCAGCCCTGTGACCCCCCCACGGCTGGGAGGGGGTGACCAAGGTGCCCCCCCGGACCCCCGGGGGTGACCAAGGTGCCCCCCCGGACCCCCGGCACCATCGGGCAGCAACCGAAGCCCTCGGAACCCTCATTTTTGGGGGGAAAAAAGGCGGGATCGGGATCCTCTGTGAGAGAGGAGAGGTCCTCCCACGGTCCTTTTTTTGGGGGGGGGTTTCTCCTTGGAGAGGACATCCCGTGGTGGGGGTCGGGGTTGGATCCGTCTCCGGGAGCGTCGCCGGAGCTGGAAAATCCTGATCTCCGCAGAAATTATATTTATTAATGTATTTATTTCGTCTCCTGAGAAATCTCCGGGAAAAGGGGGGGATGGAGTGGGGGGAACCCCAAAGGAAAGCGGTGATGACCCCTTCGGGGGTCAGGATTTGGGGCTGGGGGTCACCGGTGGGGGTCTTGGGGGTCACGGTTTGGGGTTTGGGGGTCGAGGTCGGGGGTTTGAGTTCACGGTTGAGGTTCTGGAGGTTGAGATTGGGAGTTTGGGGTCAGGGTTGGGGTTTTGGGGGAAAAACTGGGGGTTTGGAGGTCAAGATTGGGGTTTTGGGGGTCAAAGTTGGGGTTTTGGGGGAGAAGGTTGGGGATTTGGTATCATGGCTGAGGTTTGGGGTTAAACAAGGAATTTTGGATGTTGAGATCGGGGTTTTGAAAGCTGAGATTGGAGGTTTGGGGGTTCTGGGTTCCAGACTGGGAGTTTTAGGGTTGAGGTCGAGGTTTTGGGGTCACAATTGGCATTTTGGGATCGGGTTTAGGGGTTGGGAGGACACGGTTGGGTCTTCAAAATCCAAAGTTGACTTTTGGAAGCCGGGTTTGTGTTTTGGGGTCACTACTGGGGTTTGGGGCACCGATTCGGGGTTTTGAACATCAAGGTGGGAATTTTGGGGGTTGAGATTTGAGGTTTGGGGGGGTCCCAGTCGGGATTTTGTGAATCGTGGGTGGGATTTGAGGGTCGAGGGATGGCTTGGAGGGAATTCCCAACCCCAACACAACCAACCAGGACCGAAACCCACCCGCAACGACCCGACCGCCGCGGGAGAGCGAAGAAACCCCACACAAACGCCCCTTGGCCAAACACGGGCGGGGCGGATCCCCTGACCCAATAAAATCTGACCTCCCGCTGGCCCAAAAGTCCGATTCCCGCCCTTCCCAGCCCTCCCGGCGCTCTGGAGAGAGCGGTGTTTGTTTTCTGGGTGGAAAAAGGGCCGTCCCCACCCGCCAGGTGTGCGGGAGCGGCCGGAAAAGCGGGAAAAGGGCGGCCAAAGTTTTGGGGTTGGTCCTGAGGGGGTGTGGGGGGGGTCTCCAGGGGGTCCTCGATTTCCCTCACGGGGATTTTGGAAGGGTTGGGGTGATGGTTTTGGCCCACCTGGGTCTTCTCTTAGGATGGGGTTTGGCCACTGGCACCCTGTGGTGACCAATGGTGGCCAATGGTGACCAATGGTGACCCAACCGTGACCCAACCGTGACCCAACCGTGACCCAGCGATGATCCAGGGGGTCCCCAGGGAGTTCCCCTGATGTCCAGGAGTGGTCCTGGAGGATCCTTGGCCACCCCACGGCTGCGTCACCGGAGGGGGTGGGAGGTTCATTCCCTTTCCCACCCCCGGAGTCCAAGGTTCCTCTCCTGCCGCTTCTTCCCACGGCTCCGCCGGCTCCGAGCGCGTCCTGGCTCTGGCACGGTGCCGCTGGAGGAGCCTCCGTGGGGAAAATGAAAGTTTCCATCTTCCACCTCCACTTCTTCCTCCTCCTCTTCCTCCCCGGAGGAAGGACGAGTGAGTAGGGCCGGGAAAGGGATTTTCCTTGGAGGTTTTTATTTTTTTGGGGAGGGGGAATTCCGGGTGGGATGGGAGGCGATGTCGTCTCCCCTCGGGATTTTCTGTGGGAATCCTCGGTGGAAGGGCGGTTTCACCCCCCTCATCTCCATTCCCTGCAGAACATCTCCCTCTCCGAGGCCCCGTCCCATTGTGGGGTCCATGGAAATGGGGCAGGGGTCCCAGAAATGGGTCAGGGAATGGGTCAGGGGTCCCCGGGAATGGGTCAGGGGTCCATGGAAATGGGGCAGGGAATGGGTCAGGGGACCACGGGAATGGGTCAGGGGTCCATGGAAATGGGTCAGGGGACCACGGGAATGGGTCAGGGGTCCATGGAAATGGGTCAGGGAATGGGTCAGGGGTCCCCGGGAATGGGTCAGGGAATGGGTCAGGGGTCCATGGAAATGGGGCAGGGGTCCATGGAAATGGGTCAGGGAATGGGTCAGGGGTCCATGGAAATGGGTCAGGGAATGGGTCAGGGGTCCACGGGAATGGGTCAGGGGTTCACAGGAATGGGTCAGGGAATGGGTCAGGGGTTGATGGAAATGGGTCAGGGATCTCTGGGAATGGGTCATGGAATGGGTCAGGGGTCCCAGAAATGGGTCAGGGGTCCCCGGGAATGGGTCAGGGATCCCCAGGGAATGAGTCAGGGAATGGGTCAGGGGTCCATAGGAAATGGGTCAGGGGTCCCTGGGGATGGGTTGGGGGTCTCCAGGAATGCACTGGGGTTCCATGAAGATGGATCAGACCCCACAGGGATGGGTCGGGGGTCCCTGGGGATGGATCAGGACCCACAGGGATGGGTCAGGGGTCCTTGAGGATGGGTCGGGGGTCTCCAGGAATACACTGGGGCTCCATGGAGATGGATCAGACCCCACAGGGATGGGTCAGGGGTCCCTGGGGATGGGTCGGGGGTCCCTGGGGATGGATCAGACCCCACAGGGATGGGTCGGGGGTCCCTGGGGATGGGTCGGGGGTCCCTGGGG